AATCACTTCTGTTAGGTCAATTAGTAGGTCTGAGTAATTTGTCGGAATAAATGATCAGGCCTTCTGACTCCCAAGAAGAGGTGTCCTACATAATAACCTAATCAAAGTAAATGTAACAACTACTACAGTGCAACAAAACAGGAATATTAAATGTGGTCTCTTAAACATAAGATCTCTAGCATCTAAAGCAATATTGATAAATGATTTAATAGCAGATTATAATATTGATATATGCTGTCTCACTGAAACTTGGTTGAGACATGAAGAATATGTCAGCATAAATGAGGCCACTCCACCCAGCCATATCAATACGCATATTGCCCGAGGCACGGGCCGAGGAGGTGGAGTTGCAGTAATCTTATTTGTTACAGTGTACCGTGCACCAGGTCCTTATTCAGAATTCTTATCAGAATTCTCTGAGTGTTTATCAACTTTGGTTCTTAAAACAGATAAAGTAATTATCGTAGGTGACTTTAATATTCATGTTGACGATGATAAAAATAGCCTTACTGTTGCATTTAACTCTATATTAGATTCTGTTGGTTTTTGTCAGAGTGTAAATAAACCAACCCACTGCTATAATCACACTCTCGACCTTGTTCTGACTTATGGTATTGAAATTGAGCAACTACTCGTCGAACTGCATAATCCTGCTTTATCCGACCATTTCTTAGTAACTTTTGAAGTACTGTTACGAGACTACAAAGCATTAGTCAAAAGCTCCTGCAGCAGAAACCTATCTGTTAGTGCTATAGCCAAATTTAAGGAAGAGATTCCACCAATACTTAACTCGATAGTATGTCTGCATGTAGGGGAGGAAACATATACAAAATGTACACCACCCCAAATTGATCATGTTGTTGATAGTGCTACAGATGCGCTGCGAATAAAATTAGACTCTGTTGCTCCTTTGAAAAAGAAGAAAATAAAACAACATAGATTAGCTCCATGGCATAATGCCGAAACCCGTAAAATAAAGCAAAAGTCGAGACAACTTGAAAGGATATGGCGTTCCACTAAACTTGAAGAATCTCGTTTAATTTGGCATATTACTCTCAATGAATATAAGAAAGCACTGCGTAAAGCGAGAGCAGCTTCATTAATAGATGAGAATAAGAATAATGCAAGATTTCTTTTCAGCACTGTAGCCAGGCTGACAGAGAGCCATAGCTCGATTGAGCCTTCTATTCCCATAGCACTCAGTAGTAATGATTTTATGTGCTTTTTTAACAATAAAATTGTTACTCTTAGAAACAAAATTAACGACCTCTTGCCTTTGACCAGTATAGTGGGTTTGGAAAATTGCACAATATAAATCTATTCTAGTAGACCTCAACAATGGAATTATGATCAGTAGAAATGGCCATGACATGGGACCTTTAAGTTAAAGTTGTATACTGCAGGGTAGATTGTGGATTTACTCCAGGTGGAACTAAAGTCTGATTTAACACTTGATTATATTTCACATCATTCATCCACATCTGTGAAGTAACTAAAGGTATTACATACATGTAGTGGAGTAGAAGTACATAGTTTACCTCTGGACTGTAGAGGAGCAGAATTACAAAGAAGCAAAAGTGGAAATACTTAAGTACCTCAAAATAAGTACAGTACTTGAGTAAATCTACTTATTTACTACCTCCACTGCAGGCATGTTATGTTTGCTAGCAGCCCATAATCCACAATATACATAAAATAAATCAATGTTAATTCTGTTTTCAATGTTTAGTTTTTCCCTTAAACAATAACAAAAATAACCTATAAAAATAATGTTAAAAAACATTGTCAATTTAAACTGAAGAAAATATAGATGTATAGGAAATATGCATCGGGGGACGCTACTGTAGTGGCATCGCTAAAGCCAAGTCATGTTTGCAATTCAATCGAGCTTTTAAGTTGAATAGAAAGATGAGCACAGCTCCAACAGTCCTTTGTGGTTACTGCGAGGGAGACTGGTGCTGACCTTGCAGCACATAAGCAGTGTTCAACTGACACGTCACGACATGGCTCCTCTGGTCCTCACTGGTTCTTTATGTACTTTGCAAACCTTCAAACGCTGGGTAATAAAGGCTGCTTCTCTGGTTAAGCTGGATCTTTTCTTTCCATGCTAGTTGTAAGTAGGTTTCACTGCTTCCTGTTTGATTTGTACTTAAATACAAAGTTAAATATCATACATGTAGTGTTGAATTTGTACACAGTAGTGCTGCCAACGATTCTCTAGTAACAATTCCACCGCTGCTGACTGTGGTCAGGCCCCAGCAATGAAAGTGTCATGCTGGCCTCCCACAGCATGTATAGTGAAGGAGGGGAAATGTCAGAGGCCAGCTGCCTACATGTGTCTTTTAAAACGTTGCTAAGGCATGGCAATAGAACAGCCCAGTGTATGTGTAAAGTCACTCAATCTCAGTATTTCTGCGCCTCCATATATTATGATAATGAAGTTGACATTAGTTGGCTAGGCAGTCCTGACCTGGCTCTTATGGCTTACAGTTGAAACCCTGTGTTTGTTTCTGTGCTGTGAGAAGAACAGTATTGACTTATCCCAGCATCAGCTTTGGAGGCCCTGTTTTATTGTCCCTGCAAGAGGTGACTCAGCAATCACAGAACCACCAATGAGCTTCAACCGCACTGCTTCACACTTTCTTTTGATGTGTACCCACTCCAGTGAAATTCATATGATACATTATTATTATTCAGGGTTCGTACGGGTGCTTGAAATCCTTGAAAATGCTTGAAATTTGACGTGGTGTTTTCAAGGTTGGGAAAGTGCTTGCATTTTGGGAATGGTGCTTGAAATTGAGATAAAGTGCTTGAAAATGTAAATGCTTTACTTTTACAATAAATTGCTGTCTGACTGAATAGTTCGCTTTTTAGATTTAAAGAAAAATAATTGCTTCGCTTCTACATAAAACAGCTCCGCTGCGGCCTGCAAGTGTTTGTGTTACGTGTGACCTGAGCATTCTGATGAGTGATAGATGACTGTGTGCCAGGAGGTTGCAGTTTCAACGAGCGTTGGCTAGCAGAAGACAAATACAAGCCATGGCTAAGACGAGGGTCAAGCCCACGAGTAGCCTCCTGCAAAGTTTGCAAAAATAACAATGGGAGAGTCTGCGCTGACGAGCGACATGAAAGGTACGCCGTAGTAGAGCATTTTAGATTAGGCTAACGTTGCATGTTACGTTTGTTTAAGCTAACGTTAGCGAGCTGAATAGCGAACTCGATTGAGGGCTAATAATAATTGCAGGGGACAATCATTTCAGAGGAGCGTACCTATGTTATGTGCGTTACAGTCGCCATCCTGTGGTGTTCAGAGGATGAAGCACTCACTGCATTTCGTGTTATAGTCACGAAATATAATCTATTGATTCGACACAGAGCGATTTTGAAAGCAATGTATTTCTACTGGTAGTATGTTTCGTGCCTAAACCAAATGTGACTTGCTCTCTCGAAATCAGTCACATTGACCCGAAGACACATTTTCCTTTGTATTACTGGTCTGGGGGAAGCTCGCGAGTGTGTTTGTGTATTTTTGCGTTTGTTTCCCGGGGAAACACTCACAAGAAACACCGGCTGTTGTTATGCTTGCTGTGATGTTACATTAGTCCGTTCTCTGCTTGTAATTATGCCGAAGCTTCAAAGCTGTATATATCATCTGAATTTGCCGAAACGAGTTTAATATTCTGAAAGCCAAGACTTTGTTTATTTGAAAACATGAAAACAAACTGTCTTTTATATAAAATTGAAGTATTATACAAGTAAAACTACATGTTGCTTTAATCCCATGTAATTGTAGAATGAACACAGTCTTCCTTTGAAGAAGTATAAGTCAGGTGTCTTGAGTAGTCAGCATTACCTACAAATCATTGTACACATTTGTAAATATTATTTTCCACTTGTTACCATTGTGAGGCTATTTTTATGCAGCTCTGCGTGATTTTGTGGCTACAATTCAGACTAATACACTACCAGAGGTGGAATAAGTACTCAGATCTTGTACTTGAGTAAAAGTACAAGTACTCAGATCTTGTAGTGAAGTTATAAGTACTCAGATCGTGTACTTTAGTAAAAGTAGAAGTACCAGAGTGTAGGAATACTCTGTTACAGTAAAAGTCCTGCATTCAAAATGTTCCTCAAGTGAAAGTAGAAAAGTATTCTCATCATAATATAGTTAAAGACAATAAAAGTAGTCGTTGTGCAGATTGGTCCATTTCAGAATAATATATATGATATGTTTTATAAGGATTGATCATGAAAGTGTTCTCAAAGCTGGTAAAGGTGCAGCTAGTTTGAATGACTTTGTATACTGCAGGGTAGCTTGTGCATTTACTCCAGGTGGAACTAAAGTCTGATTTAACACTTGGTTATATTTCACATCATTCATCCACATCTGTGAAGTAACTAAAGGTATTAAATACATGTAGTGGAGTAGAAGTACACCATGTACCTCTGACTTATGTTCACTGCCAACCTAAAAGTACCTCAAAAATAGTAATCAATAATGTATTGAAAAGTTATTTGGCTCAGACAGGTTATATGGGATGCCTAATCTACGTACAGATCACTCATTTTGAAATATTAAACTTAGTTTTATTTAATTTAATTTTTCCTCCTCGTGTAGAATGCTATCACGAAACACACATTTGGTTGTTTATAGCATAAAGAACATCTGATTTAATGTGAGGTAGGGAAATAATCATTTGAGTATGTGCATATAAATATGTAATTTACAACAGCTGTAAGCTGCTTGAAAAGCTGGAAAATGCACCTTGAAAATGCTTGAAAAGTGCTTGAATTCGACTTTGGAAAAGGTGCAAGAACCCTGATTATTGGCTTGATCTCCATAGTGATTTCTGTGAGAGCCAGTTATGTACAAGTATTTTCATGGTCTTTACAAACGTGACCGACTGGCCCCACAGCCTCAGGGCCCTCAAAGACTGTGCTTCTTAGACGTTGCTAAGGTAACAGGTAAGGTACACTGAGAAAAATACCACAAGAGTAGCACATGTGAATACTTTTCCCCCATTTTATTTCTTTTTTAAATAGAAAACCATGCCCACTTGGACATAGTTGAAAGAACAAAAAATACAAAAATTAAATCCAAGAAAATTAAATAAAAAAAATAAGGACAATACAGCCATTCAACCTGTAACAACAGTCAGCCATTCATGTTCATATGCTGTATGAGGAACATTAAATCAACGGAGTGTTACACTGACGGGCGGAGCACATACTCACACACACATTTACAAATTAGAGACATGATGTGGGACAGCTGCTCACATTTCAGCCGCTGCATTAAAGGCGAAACACTTCACCCATCACATAGGCCTGCTCACTTATTATCATTATTACTGTTAATAACATACATACTATTAATAATAATAATAACAATAATACAGTCAGTGTCATGTTAGTGCCTATAGAACACACAGACGCACCTAAAGCAGCAAAACTCTTTGGTGATAATGAGTGTAACAAAAGGAAAATGAAAACCAGCTGACATGGCCACTCTTTCTAATATACATATTTCAACAGTCAAAGAGAAGAGATGGAGCCGACAAATGCAATAAATTAGACAGCAAACGATGAATTGCAGATATAAAATCCAGCAGTTGGGTTCATAGAAAATGAGTGCAGGATAAACAGTAACAGTGTGGTGTTTATTACCATCCCATAAAAACAAATGAAAAGAAAAGGTGGCCCTCGTTAATGATTGAGATAGCTGAGATCTGAGTTCTGTCTGCGATTAAATGTCTCTTGTAAATATTCACAATCTAGAGTGGACCGCTGCTCTGCCCCGGTGTGTGTCACTGACACACGTGTAACAGGCTCACACAATATTCCTTCCATCATTACTTACTTCCATACTAGAACCCAGATTGTGTCTGAATTGATCATCATGGCGTTTTGTTGTATATTTTCATATTCTTTGAAAATATATCCATGTGAAGTCTATCATGTCAGTAAAAAATGAATACGGTAAAGAAAACCCCACGCAGTGAGAAAGGGGGCATGTTCTGGACAGACGGCAGATGTCCTCACGCTGTCCTCGCTGAGCCGTTATTGCTGGCCGCTCTCCTGAAGCCGTGCTCGTTCTTCTCCAGCCACAGCTCGGCCAGCTGCTGGCTGGAGCCGTGCGACGAGGCTTTGGAGCCCAGGCACATCTTATATTGCTTTGCCTCCAGGTTAGGGTCACATATGACAGGGTGGTGAACGTGCACTATCCCCGTGTCTGTGCTTCGGAACAACTTCAGCCCGGACTGGACAAATTTATTGAAAAGGTCCACGTCCTCCAACCCCCAGCCCTGTATCGACGTGTCAAAGCCTCCAGCTCGGACCAGGTCTCCTTTGTAAACACAGACAATCCCAAAGCCGTAGTTCCTCCACAGACCTGTCTTGGAGGTAAATACGTAATGGTTGTTGCTAGGGACTTTCCCAGCATAAACCACCTTGGGGTCGTACTGGCTGAAGATGATGGGGAAGTAAGTTTGCTCTCCTGGGGCTGTGTTTGTCCGACAGCGCTTGAGGAAGTCACTGGTGAAGAGAAGATCCACATCACAGTAGAAGAGAAGAGAATCGTTGGAGAAGTGCAGAGAACCCACTTCCAGAGCCAAAGCCCTGGAGAAGGAGCCAGTGACGGGCTTTATCTCCATCTCAGCTCGGGGGTACTTCATGTGATACTCTCTCATCAGCTCCACCTGCTTCACCTGCTCTGTGTTGTTGTCTGTGCTGAACAGCAGGATGAGCAGCTTCACGTTCTGGTTGGGGATCAGACAAACTCGTTCAAAGTTGGCCATGAATCGCACAAAGATGTCGTAGCGTCCCGACAGAGGCACTAAGATGTTGACCTTCTTCTCTTTAGGTTCCTTCTGGTCTTGGCCAGAGGTGGCCAACTTGAAGGGCACCAGCATTTTCAGGGAGTTGGACAGGAATGAGAGCGAGTCTGAATCTTTGTTGATGTGGCTGGCCAGAGCTCTGGCATCCATTTCCCCTTCCTCTTTGAACTGGATCTGGCTGAAGGTCTGCTGCAGGTAGGCGTGCCTCCTCACAGGCACAGTCATGGTCTTTCCTTTGTGCTTCTTGTACAGCAGCAACAGATCCAGCACATACTCTGCCCCGTATAAAGGATTCACTCTGCGGTAGCCATATTGGATTTCTTTGAAGTCAATGACCCGCCCCCGTGTCTTGGCATTGGCGTTGATCATCTCCATCACTTGCATGATGATGTCGTCCAGGGCTTGCCTCTGGGAGGAATCCATGCCTCTGCGGGGTGGCTGCCCGTCAGATGATGAGAAGAGGTACTTCCCCGTCAGGAACTCCCACTCCAGCACTTCCTCTCTCTGCCGTGGGTGGAAGCGCATAAATGAAGGTGGCATGCCCAGCTGGAGGTCTTCTCGGCTGGGCTCATTGGCTCCATAGCGGCCCATCTGAACGATCTCCCGGTGGAGCTGGATGGTGCGGTGGCGCAGGTCTGCGATCTTCCGGCTCAGCATGTAGCTGTGTAGTCGATACTGGTAAGGAGGGTTTTTGTTGGGGTGGAGAGTGATGGCTCGATGGATCTTGCTGTTGTGGAGATCTCGTATGTAGCCCTTCTTATTTGGTTCATAGTTCTCATAGAAGAGCTGCTGCATCTGTGAAAACAGAAAATGGATAGTGTTATTTCCACTGAGGCCATTACAAGTACATTTCAAACAGCTAACTGCGTTGGATTTCCACTATAGTTTACCATACTGTGAGAGTTCAGAGCAGAGGCCAGAGCTGAGAGAATGTGCCAGACTATGTTTGTCTGTCAGATGTTGCTGCATATCTGGATGACCGTATGATACATTTATCAAAAGCTTGTTGAACAAGCTGAATATAAACGTACAGGAATACGTTAAACAGCAAATATGCATAAAGCAAACTCCCTGTCCCCTGTTCACTCACAGCTAGTAGGTTTTGTATGTGATGTGAATTGGGTTGACTATATTGACTATATTTGCCTGATTTTGCCACATTGCCCTGCTGATTTGATGATTGGTAATCCTCTCAGATAGCCGGCTCTTGACCAGCTGTCATCCGCTCACAAGAGGCGCTTTCACACTGCAGCACTTTTCCCACAGAGGTTCATGAGAACTCTTTAGTTCTCATGAACTAAGTACAGATCGCGTTCACACCGGAATAAGTCCCTGGGGGAGGATTAGGCAAAATGAAGCCGCTGACGTCACTTCTTCTTCTTCTGCTTTGGGTTTACTGGCAGGCCGCAAACCACTTCACGGCGTATACTGCCGCCCGAAGTCCCCGGCCGGAAGTCCCCGGAGTTGGGGACTGGAGCCTTCCGAGTAAATCGCCAGACACCTCCTCATCTCCACCGCTCCCATATTTTCTTTTGTGTTGCCATAAGTTAGTCTCTCTGCGTTTGTGCGCTATGCTAATGCTAATAATGCTAATGTGAGGATAATAAAATGGCGGCTTCACAAAACGTTTTAGGAGTTTTACGGGGCGTGGTTTGCAATCCGCCCAGCCAATCAGAAATAGGAACCTTTTTCTCCCACGAAAGTACCTGCTCTCTAGCAGGGACGGAAAAAGGGGTATTTTTGGTGTGAACGAGACATTTCGGAACTATATCGGAACTAAAGTGGGAAAAGTACTGCGGTGTGAACGCGCCTAAGGAAACATTGGTTGTGTCTGACATGATAGCAGTAATATATGTTCTCCTGGAATTCATGCATAATCAATTCATTTTTACAATAACCTACACTAGGTGAGTAACCAACGTGTTTAATCCCAAATTCTTCTTCAAAAAGTCAGAAAAATGCTGTAGAAGATATTCTACACTGTCCATGCTGATTGCAGTTATTAAAACCTTTGAAAGAAATTGCCTACTCATTCCTGCCAGTTTCGAAACAATGACAACAGCCAATCACACTGCATGGGGCATTGCATTTTCTTGCGAAAGGCTTAGTGCTTTGTTGGGGTTATCTCCACAATTACATACACACACCACAAAATTTGAAAACGATGCTCCTAGCCACTGACCTTAAACAGTGCATTCATCAATAATGATATAGCAGGAAGTGAGATTAGAGATGCAGGGTGTTGGATCACGGAAAGAGACCATTAGATTTATAATGAAGGAATGACTTATATATGGATATATGATCCGATCGCTAAAGGTGCACTACACAGTCCGCTGCACTGACTGAACACAAGTGATTTAGTGTGTACTGCTAACTTGATTGAGTTCTACAATATGTTAACATTGGCGATACTTGCAGGATCTCACCCGCGGTCAAGAAGACCGTCTACTTCAAAGTCTAATTTGAGAGTAGGACTCTGGAATGCAGCCACAGGCCTGATTTCCAGGGGAAGGCCTTCCAGGGAAAAAGAGTATGAGGACAGGCCTGAGGGTTATGGAAAATTATACCTGCTGGGTAATGCTCACAAGAACTGCCTGAGTCACTCTTTCTTTTCCATGGCTTCATGCTGCATTCCTCTGAAACCTAAGAGAGGGCAGCCTGCCATCAAACCACACTGTAAGCTTGTCTTTAATGCAACATTCGAGTCAAGCTGTGCCTTCAGAGGTGAAGGGTCAGTACATCCGAGACCAGGTCAATGCTTGTTCAACTAACAGAAATGGCATTATTCTTTCGGAGTGAAACACTGCCCACTGTTACCTGAAGTGAACTCCGGGTGATAAACCAGCATTATACAGACTTTAATGTCTAGAGCTTGGCAAGAGTGCCATCATCCATACTTATCCATCATTTTCATTGATCTGCTTTTCTTCCAATCATTCTTAAAATTATACATTTGACAGATGAAAGTTTCCTGGAGGCCTGAGTGCGATGCCCAGACCTGTCCCTGACTGAATATCTCTCCAGACGAAATGAAAAAGTTGGCAGTCCTAGTAAAATGTCACTGGTTAACGTTAATTCCATGAGCCAGTTGATGGCAGGCCAAAAACACGTTCCGGATTATCATAACAGTTTATCAGCTTCCTAGATTTGAACCAGTATCAAGCTGCTCATGACAATGTAAATGAAAGTCTACACTGGTATGTACAGTATCAATATAATAAACCAGAGGATTATTGAGAACATGAAATTATAATTTGATATAAATATAAATGAGATAATAAAAGCTACAGGGCACATCAGACCTGACAGACATGTTTGATTGCCATCTGAGTAAACATAAAGGGCTCCATGTCTGAAAGGGTGGTCCTAACATCCCTTTGTCTGTATTTCTTTAATTAAAGTTTCCCTCAGCACAGTATTTTTCTAGTTGTTTTTCTTAGACTGTGTCCAGCTGGGATTCACACCAGTGGTCAGCAGCTGACACCAGATGTCAGGATGTCATGGATCTCCCCTGTGGCTCCAGCATCATTAGCACCCTTCATAATTACATGATCTCCACGTCTGTGGTCAAATCATGACTCCTTAGTGCAATTTCTTCACAGTCATCACCTCACAACATCCCTGCCCCAACTCCAATGATCCTTTTACCAAGGCAAAAGGAAGAGAAAAGAGTGTTTCATTCATCTCTGCAAGCTGATCATAAGCGACCACAGACCCACACATTTCAGTAAGCATCAAGATCAGAGCCACCAGGAAAGGTACGTGCTTGTCGTTGAATCTTTAGACACTAGGTTTGAATGTTCGATCAAACATGGAAACATTTCCAATATTTTAACTGTAATGACCTTTGGGAATTCAAATGTACAGTCAATAGGCCGCCGTATAGCTCAGATGGTAGAGCTGACGGCCAATGTACAGGCCGTCCCGGGTTCAAATCAGACCCGGGAACATGCACGTGTCATCTCCTCTGTCTCCCCCTTTCATATCTATCGCTCAAATACAGGCACTGGTTGCCCAAAACATTCTTTAAAAGAAAAAAATGTATATATACAGTCCATAAGTGCAATGAACTATTGAAGCAATTTGCACTGCACTCCAGCAGACACAATTCACCATAACCTTGAACTTTTGAGCTATCCTAACACTCAGCCAATGGTATAAAACAAAAGCGAGCGCAACCCTGCCGGCGTGATAATCGGGACAAAGATGTTGAGTTACAGTGTGAACTAGACACGTCATAGTTGCACCGCAATCTCAAGACACAACATGGAAAAACAAGGCCTGTATTGAAGGGTAAGACACTATTCTCCATATAAACACTATGAATGTCAGTTACTGTTGCTATGGTGAGTGAATCAGAGCTATGTTAAATACAAAGTTGCCCCTCATGCAATTGGGAAAAAAACTGCAAAAATTGTCTAATGCAACTTGTCTCGTCATTTTCTGCCCACATCACGAAAAGTGTCATACAGACAGGAATACGTAAGCTAGCTAGTATTAGCTGGTCTGTGTATTGAATGTAAGGAAATGGGAAAGTGTGTCTTCCTAGTTCCTAGCTAGCAGACATCAACCCACGCTGACAGGCATGAGGGCAACACAGCTCTGGGGGCTTACAGATACCCCTTTCCCACCAAACCAGTTCCAGTTATTCTTCTGGTTCCGAACTGGTTCTTCTTTTTAGCCCCAGTTACGTTTCCACCGCCCAGAGCCCGACTGGTGCTGCGTCATGACATCACCTTTTACATCGCTGATTTTCTCCCGAACGCCGCCAACAACAACAACAACAACAACAACGGGGGACTCATGTTGCTATTAATGATACTTCTAGTCAGAGCTGAGTACGACTCCTGACAGTGTTTTGTTTTTATATTTGCTGTTGTAAATGTTTGTCTTTTGTTGTTATTGTTAAGTGTTTTTATTACATGTACATGTAAAAATCGTTTTTAAATGTGCTCTATAAATAAAACCTGATTTGATTTGAATCATACGAAGCCAGATTAAATAAAAAAGCACCTTCTCCAACGTAATACTCTTTCCCAGAGTGCAGTGCTTCATTGTTTATTAATGTGGTTCAGCTGCATTTACCGACCACTGCAATTCTGCTCGTCCACCGGAGTTTAGTCTACCGATAATTCACGGCAGAGTTTAGTCGAACGTTGACTCACAGCAGCGTCTGATGGAAAGCAGTGATGCTCTATCTCACTGTCACCCAAGCAACTGATGCGGATCTAAGTGATTGTGTGTCAGTCTGAATTTACGCTTTTTGGCATCACAACGCCGTTATTAAAGTGTCTCTGGTATTAGACAGGTGATTTTTCTTTATGATTTTACTTGTGTAGCCCATGTACTGATTTCACCCGAAAGCTGCTCTAATAAAAAAAAAAAAAAGGAAATCGTATGAGGCAGTGTGCTGGTCTTCAAAATGGGAAATAGCAGCGAACGGATGGTCATTAAAAGTAAGTTAAAAACAAACAGCATCACACTATGCCTGGTTAGTGCTGCCTCACTTTATAGAAGTGTTTTTTATAAGTGTGCGGACGCGTTTTGTGACTTTGTTCCGCACCCCTGCCCCAACGTATTTGGTTCTTGGTTCTTGACGGGCAGTTGAGTGGGGCCAGATAAGAACAATTATTTAGGGGCCAAGAGCCAGCTCCGCTGCGGTGGAAACAGGAAGAACCGGTTCTTAATCGGGCACTAGCTCCAAACTGGCCCTGGGTGTTGTCAGAGCAATGCAGAGCACTGGCATGAACTGGCTACACACAGGACTCATGTGCACTAACATGCTCTAACAGTT